GGAAACTTTTTTACAAAATTAAATCTTAGGATTAGAAGAGGATATAGTACCCAGGAATATTAGATATTTGAATATTTGAACATTAGCAAAGGAATATGTCTTGGTGGAGTTACTGAACTTCAAGTATAAAGAAAGTATCTGATGTGTTTCCAGGCAGAATAAAAGCAATTCAAGTGCCCGAGAAATAAATTAGGCTGGCCTCAGACTTTTTCTCTCTTTACTGCTAGAAGACAGTAATGTCCACAAATCCTTGAGGTGGAGACTGAAATATAAGGATCTCAAACTCAGCCATGTATCCTTAGGCTGAAAGACGGCAGGCTGTTAGTCACAAACATGTAAGACTTCAGGCAATATGGGACCCATATACCTTTCTTGACAAAACGACTGGAGACTTCCAGTGATCTAATCTGTTCAGCAGATTAGGTGTCTTGGAATCCTTCCTCAATGAAACACCTAACAGTGCTGAATAGGATATCTTAATACACCTTTTAAAATTAATGGCTGAGTTTTCCAAAAATAAAATAAAATATTCTGTGGCTAGGAACCAGTTGAGAGCCCTACTCTAAGGAAGGAAGCAAGCATTAAAATTGTTGGCCACTCTGGAGATGCCTGCCAAATTCTGATAGTCAGTTTTGGTTTCCTAGGCTTCCTAGGCCTCCTAGGCACAGGAGACAATGTCAGTGTCTTGAGTCTGCCAGAATAGGGCACAGGCTCAGGGTCCCCACAAAAAGCCATGTGCTACAAAGGGCATCATCCTCAGAGAACAAGAAAACTAGAGGAAAACACTCCTGAAGAACAGGCAGATATGTGGTGATGATGCTTTTCCTTTGAATCAGTTGATTTTCTGAGTGCAAACTATGCTCAGATCTGGACAGAACATGTTAGCAAGTTCCTTTCACTTAACCAGTTCAATTGTTAGCCAAGCAGAAATAATTTGGGTTTTTTGTTTTGTTTTGCTTTGTTTTGTTTTTTTGAGTTGGAGTCTCACTCTGTCACTTAGGCTGGAGAGCAGTGACATGCTCACGGCCACTGCAGCCTTCACCTGTTGGGCTCAGGTGATCCTTCCATTTCAGCCTTCCAAGTACTGGAATTAAAGGCATGCACCACAACACCCGGCTAATTTTTTGATTTATTGTAGAGATGAGGTCAACTTGCCCAGGCTGGTCTCAACCCATGGGCTCAGACAATCCTCTGACCTCGGCCTCCCAAAGTGCTGGGATTATAGGCATGAGCCACCACGCCTGGCCAGGGTTCATTCTTGTTATTCATTCCTAGGGAGATCACCTTCAAGGATAATAACCCCTTCTCCATTATGAATTAGAATCGAGCCCAAACCCCTTACAGTCTCCTGCACATGTTCTTTTTCCCACCTTTGCCCATGTCGTTCCCTCTACTTGAAATACCCTTCTCCCTTCCCGTGTTCTGCAGGTTTCCATCCCAAACTAGAGAAGTAATGGGCAACTTGAAAGCCAGGCTCCAAAGCCACCAGGTCCATAACACTATGCCAGACATGCTCAGCTAAAAGGGACTGAACTTCCCGAGCCCTCTGACATTCAGCCTTTACCTCGCCACTTAACATATATTGCACCTGGAATAATGGTCATTGTGCTGGATGTCTGGTCCCCTGTGAGATGAAGCTTCTGGAGTACATTGCTGTTCTATGGCTATCTTTGTGTTACTGCGCACCCAGGAAAGAATCAATGCTTAATTAATGTTTGATGCATTATGTGGAAGAGAGTTGAATTGAAAAACCTAGGGTCAGCCGGGCTCGGTGGCTCAGCCTGTAATCCCACGCCTTTGGGAGGCTGAG